AGCAGAGGACAGCTCTGGCAACCCCATTAAAGGCCAGGTCACATGCCTCCTGGCGCTGGTGAAATTTCCCACAGCCTGACCAAACCCACCCATTGAGAGATCTGCAGCCTGCACCCTCAATGAGATTTTTTCTTTCACATTTTTAGCACAGTCTCGTGGAAGAAAGGAGAAACACAGATGACAGTATGGTATAGGAATTCCACCACATAACAGACATTGCAGAAAGTCTCTGTAATTTCTTTAATTATTCAAACAATAGAGCACACAGATAACAGTTTCAAGTACATTCTGGTACATGGTTTTTGACAGGAACAGATATGCATTGAGCTGTGAGGGAGGCCGGCAGCAACCGCCATGCATACACTTCGCACAAACTCTGGCACCATCACCCTGGAGGAGAGACACAGGGGCCTCGTCCGGGTGGGAACGAGCCGCCCCTTTCAGTGCCCTATATTTAGTTTCTCTATGTAGTGGCTTCCTTTCTTTGCCTGTGAAAAAGAGAATTCTTAATGTAAAGCTGTGGAAGAGTCTTTAAAAGAGTGACCAGGAGGGCTGGGCAAGCAGGGGCCCTGTTGCTGGCCTGTGTAGGCCGGGGTGCTGCCCAGCTTCCATCCGGGTGCCCTGGTGGCCAGCAGACGTCTGCCATGGCCGTGGGGACCTTCAGGCTTTGCCAGTGCCCTGCTTCTCGTCTCTGACCCAGCAGGCTGCACTGCTGATTTGTTGGGTCACTCAACAGAGCCAGAGGAGCTGGTGTGCCCAGGGTTTACCTTTGACCAACTCAGAATCAGGCTTGAACAGTCCACAGAACAGAAGCCCTCGAACTTCACCAGGGATTGTAAACACCAGCCTGGAACCTGCTAACCACCTTGAAGACCAAAGAGAAGTCTTTTGCAGAGAAAAACTGAGGACCACTCCTGCCTAGAGGGCCCAGCCCCCTGGAAGCACCTAGAGGACAAGCCTCTGGCCCCAGCACTGTCCACCTGGCCGCACAGCCTCCTGGCAAGGCCACTTGAGGCCAGACCTTGGCATCAGAGCCCCTCAGGGACCAGCGTTTCTCCCTGTGGATGCCACCACAGGCCTGGCCTTGGGAACCAGACCCCTGCCATGTGAGACTGAGGTCTGTTCAATCCTGCTTTCTAAACCTGGGCCACCATGACCGATTTAATCTGCTAAGAGGTCCCAAGCCCACACAGCTTGACGGACACCTCCAAAGCGCAGCCTGCTCAGATGCCTCGGCCCAAAGCACAAAGTGTGACAGTTGCCTTCAATAAGCCAAAGTTCTACAGTGGCCGAGGGCAGAGACCCTGTTGGCCAAACCTACAACGCAGCAGAATTAAGCATGGAGGTCCTTTCCCCAGGCCCAGCTCACATCAGGCACTGACCACAGGGTGCCCACTCAAGTAGGGCCATACCTAGGGAATAAATATCCATGTCTAACAACCACATCAGACAGACAACTTCGATTTGGGGACACCAGCATGGCCGGAGGACCCTAGCAGCCCAGACACGAAGGATGCACATTTCACAGTGGGCCTGCCACACGGATTCCAGGGGGACCCCCAAGAAAATGGGGTGGGGGCTTCAGAGAAAATCAACACTTGGCCCTCTGCTCTCGGGACCCTTTCCGGAGAGGGCACACCAGGACTTGAGAAAGCACTTAAGGACCCCCCTACAGATCAGAGACAGCAAGACCAGGGTAAGGCATGAGGTCTGCCCAACAATCACACATGGAAGAGCCGCAGGAGAAAGTTCTCGAGTGGATGCCACCAAGGCCACCTCCTCTGGGCCTACACACTAGGCTTTGCTAGTTAAGGGATGAGGTTGGGGGACAGAACAGTCCCCACGTATGGCACCCCCAACCTTTGGGAGTGCAGAAAGAACTTCACACAATAAACACAAACAGAGCTGAGGTTTCTCCAGTGGTGAGAATAAACAGGTTGCTGTGTTTACCTACTTTGGTTCTCTACGTAAGTCAATCTGAATTCACAGTATAAGCAACACATCTAAATATATATAATATTGGGAGTCCTGTCAGCACTAGGTTTCCCAAACAAAGAAGCCAAAAAAGAAAAGAAAACGGGCTGCGACAGGAATTCTTAGTTATTATATACTAACCAGTCTGTGCGTGGCACATTTTATTTCTATAAAACTATTACAAAATATTCAAAAATACATTTTAGTAAATTTACAGCAGTTATTTCTCAATTTATTAATGCAAAAACATCCTTTGTTTTTCTCTGTACAAACTACAGGCTCCATCCGTGTGGGCTCATCACTATGTGCGCTTTTAAAAAATATTATTTTCTAATAAATTCTTTGAAGTTAAAAATAACAGAGTTCTTCCAGTTTGTCCAAAAAAAAAAAAAAAAAATGTGTGTGTCTGTGTGTGACAGTCTTGGTTAGCTTCCAAGAACGTGACTTAAAACGGTGATTACAAGCAAACATCAAACCATAAAGACAATTCAGAAGATGGCTGTTACATCGGAAACTAGTTAAATTAAAATAATATATTTTCATATTTTACACTATTTCAAAAAATGAAATGTAATTCAGTTACGTATTGATCTCTCAAAAAAATCTAATTTACAATTCTGTGTATAAAAATATAATTTGTGGACCCCCATGAAGCGTTTTTAGTTTACACTTGCCGAAAAGCAGGGGCATTGCAGAGGAGGAGTGGGTGGCGAGTACAGAGTTTTGCTTTCTGACGGTCAGGACCAGGGGCATGTAGAAAAATAGACTCTGAGCAGATCGCTCGGCCTCACAAAATAATCTCCCCCCGTGAGCGCAGTTCACATGACAGTAATAAATTATCCAAGACACAAACTAGTTAAGGCTCTTGAAGGTCCGGTTCATATTATTTAAAACATCTATTCATACCAAACAAATAAATAGCCAGGAGAGGAGGAAAAAAATATCCAAAATAACACAGTAACCCAAAAATTCAAAAAAATATATATATATAAACTAAGCACAACCACAAAACTTCCCGGGGTCTTGGTTTCCTTATACTCTACTTTGGAGTGCCCTACTTTATTATTAGCATTAATCGTCATTATAATGGAAAGTCTCATTAGTGCGCCTTTTCGGCGCGTCCTTCGCTTTCTCCTGCCGTCGTTGCCCCGCCCTGCCCGCGCTCCCCCCCCTCCCGGGTCCCCTCAGGGCTTCAGCTGGATGTGACCGCCATGCCCAGCGGGTGAAGGGCCTCGCTGTCCAAGAGCCAGGTGCCTATTTGGTAGAGCAGCTGCGAGTACCAGTGGACGCCCGCGTCGGCCGCGCCCG